AAAATCAATGAGGTAATTTCGAATAGTAACTAAAACCAGAAATATTAATTGTATGATTATTTGTTTTAATAGCAAATATTATTCTTAGCAAAAATGAATTATAAGCAAAAAAACCTACTTCAGCTTTAACGTTTCTTTATCTTTTTACTTTTTTAATTTAAAGGACAATTGTGTCAGTTTCATCATTTGCAATATCATTCTCCAATTCCTTTGTAGAAAATGCTAAAATAATTTCATCAGAATAATAAAAGAATTATTCAAACTAAATAAATAAATTATCTGATTTACTTTGATCCTTTCTCTCCCTCTCTCTCCAATGGATATATATCAAAAAGATAGAATCAGAACAAAACATTTAATAAAATAAATAAAACCTTACTTTTAAACAGTGGTTGTTCTATACTAAGCAAGAACACTCTTGTACTGTTTGCTGTCTGTATCATTGAAGTTAGTGGCCGACTTTTGTATATTGCACCTTCTGCTATTTTTGAATTCTTTTTTGATTTTAAAGAATTGATCCTTTTGTTTTTAATATCTTCACTAATTTCAAATTTGATTTCAAATATAATATTTCGAGCTTCTTCCGCAGTAGGCCGTTTTAAAGGATCTGGATCCCAACATTTTGTGATAAGTTTGCATAGTCGTATTGGCATATCCTCACAAAGATCTGGACGTAAACCATCACAGATGTCAAGAATCAATATGTGATCATGATTCCGATGGTGAAATGGTCTCTCCATATTCCAAATTTCCCATAGTAAAATCCCGTATGAATAAACATCTGCCGCCTTAGTGTACTTTTCACCACGTAATACTTCTGGTGCAAGATACGGGATAATTCCATAAGTTTCTTCCTCTGCTGTCGCTTGTGCTTCCATTTTGGATCTTCCGAAATCACTTATTTCTAAGGCATATTCATCGCATAAAAGATTACCACTATGAAGATCACGATGAAGAATACCACTTCTATGCATGTTAACCAAATTTTCTGAAATAATACAGTAAGACATGATCAATCTTACTTTAAGACTTAGGTCTGCATTTTTGATAATGCTATTCAATGCTCCATTGTAAAAGAATTTTTGTACGAGAATAAAATTATTTGATTTTGGATTTCGTGTAATTCCATAGATCATCAAGTTGTATTTGTGACTTATTAAATTCATTTCAATCTGCAACATGTAAATATAAATATCGATACCATCATTCAAATAGAGAATGCTCAATCAATATAGAAATTTACCTCGTTTATAAGATCTAGGTTGTAGTTACGAGAATCAAAAACCTCTTTGAGAGCAACAGTTAAGATATCGGGGTCTTCATTCCGCTTTTCCCAAATGGCCTTTGAAACCTTTCCAAAACCGCCTACCGCAATAAGTTCAATATCTCGAAATCGATTAAACGGAATCCATATAGGCCATTCAGCTTTATTTAAGTTACGCTGTGCTTCAATTAAATATTCGTCAATTTTTTTGTCGCCACTAGTCCATGATGGAAAATCGCAAACCGGGCATTTCCAGATTTCTGCATTTAGTTTTTGTAAACAAATTTTACAATACATTAATTCCGTGATCAAGATGTAGTTTTGCGTAATGGGATTTCGTGAAATCGCGAGTTTTCTTCTGCAATAGATTTTTTTAGGAATGTCAACTTCTAATTGTTTATAGAAATCTTCTATATCTAAATATTCACTCAATTGGATAAAACTGTTTTTTACTCTTTTAAATTTTTTATCTCCGTCAATATTTTCATAAATATTGGTTACAGGTCCGTTTGTCCATATTGCTATAAATATTTTTATATTTTTAAAATCTTTGATGAATTTAACGCCAGTAAATTGTTCATATGAAATCCCTTCGAGCCAATCATAAAAATTTTTACAACCGAGTTGCTGTTCATGAATGAATTCATCGATATATTCATTTTCGCTTGTCCAGGTTGAGATATCGCATTTAGGACAAAACTTGAAGTTGATATTCCATCCTCGTCGACACACTGGACAAGAATTCGAATTAAATTTTTGAATAGAATTCAGGTTATTTGATGAACGATTGTTCATTGTCATGTCCGTACTTTTTGTTATACATGTACATTTTTTATCTTCTTAAATGTTTAGGTTTTACCAATAAAAATTCAACCCGATTTTGTGAGGAGGCTGGTTGTATCATCTATGTTACCGTTACATGTTATGCATATGTTATGCATAATACACAGCCGCACATGTAAAAATACTGTACGCATATGTACATGTACATGTATTTTGCCAACAAACACATCGCAACTTTTAGATCCCATCTTCGAGTTCACTCATAAAAATGAGTTAAGCTTGGTAAAACAAATGAGACTAATGAAAACAAAGATAACGAAAATTTAATAAAAAAGAATCGGTTTGAATGAACCATTTTAAAGGTTCGCCAATAATGAACAGCAGGGTTTGAAACATAAATATCAAGATTTTAAGGAATAGATTGATGCCTAAAATTAAGAAATCAGTTCAGTGGATATTTATCGAGGAATTACTATCGTAGCCTAGAAATGCTAATGGGAACTATATAATTTTGTACAAATTAGTTGGTGAAATTATTTATTATATCGACTATCGAAATTGAATATTTTGTATTTTCAGTATTACATCTTGCTTAAAAGAAACTAAAGGGTCAAAATTTAAGGAAACTAAATGAACAGTGCTATTCCATAAAAACTGCAGGCGCAAACGTCTTTTGACTTTGGGAAAGTGAAGACATAAATTTCCAAGCGTAATCCTGCATCGAAGTCTTCGGCGAGATCGGTGATCTTCGTTTAACAATTACTATGCATGCAAGCTTTGTTGTTATCGGCTTATCTTTCTCAACATGTCGGTATCCTCGTTATGGGCTCTGATCTATTTTGATGATAGTTTTTTTACGAATTATATAAACTGAACCTTCGTTTTTTTTTTGCATGTTTAATGAGATGAAGTTTACTTTTTTTTGGAGCGTCACTTAGTTATGCGAAAAACGAAAAACTTTACCATCTTTATACTTTTCTTTAACACCATTCGCCATAGAGAACACAAACGTCTCTAAATACATGGATATCAGTACATCAGCAAGGTATGCAAACTTTCCCGTAGCAACGTGCACGGTAGACGATTCTATGCCCTTAGTTTGCTTTCACTAAACATTATAAAATTCTTTTTTTTTCTGGTGTTCGTCATGCAAACCATAACGTATAATGCAATCTGGTAAAGTCAGCATTCATTATCTTTAACAAGATGATTCGGCAAAAGATAATTTTTACGATATTCTAAGAAACTATAGACACTCGGTTTGAAAATACTCGTCAAAATAGAAAACAGAAGTTTAATGATAATGGCTTTATGGTTAATGAATGTATCAGATACCAGATCTTTTGATTCCTACACCGTTTCTAATTCTCATCTTAAGCGTAGAGTCGCAGAAAGAATTTTTGAAAATTTATTTTACTAAAATTAATACACACACTGCTATTTTTTCCCTCAAATGATAGCAACCTATCCCAAAAAGTACGAGCTCATAATGTACTGTATTTAGAGGCTCGAAAGTGATTTCCAATATTCTTATTGGCTTCTGGAAATAGTTATAGCCTACACTGCAGACATCACCAAGAAGTCTTTAGCAATACACTCAGATCCTTACAATTATTGCTGTTTTCAACTTCATAAAAATTTTCAATTCGACCCAAGCATTTTTGAACTATCTAGCGATTTGTTATCATTATATTATCATCTTCGTTCACATTTATGAATTATTGCTGGAAACATTAATATAATTGTTACCATTGTTAATGAGTTCTTCATTTTTGTATCGTTGTTACCATTTTAATGTGCGCTTCATCTTAGATTTTTCTTCGCTAATACATGGATCATTATCGTCGACATTATGTTATCGCCCCTAGTGTTTCCGGCAAGGCGATGTAGCAAAAAGAATGAAAATTTTTGCACACAACTCGATGACTTAATAGCGAGATGCTGGATGTACTAACTGTGGCAGTAGAATCACACCTCTCTATAGTCATCGTTTTTGGAAGGTAAATTGGGTGATGATAGAGGGGTGTGACTATAAAAATATATTTAATTATAGTCATAAAATAATGGTAGGATGACTATAGAGGTGTGATATAACGGGTGTAGCATTGTTGGGTTGATGTCAGAAAAAAATAAAAATTTGCTGATTTTATAATTTGAGGGTAAAGGATAAGAATTTACAAGCAGTAGAAGAAATGTGTTTGTTATAGAACAAAGGGAAAAACGAATTGGATATGATGCTGGATTGAGTAAAGGCTTATCTATAAATCCACTAGCAACTCGTTTAATAAGTCAACGAAAAGGACGGGATGGTATACTCATTCCTGGATCTGCTTTATTGTTGAATGATTATAGAAAATTAACTCTTGATGAGTTCCACTTTTATTAAAAGAACCATTTAATATAGAGAATGAAAAAAAGGCTGTAAAAAAGATGAATGATGTGCTTAAAGATCTAAAATTGCGTGGCGTATAATGTTTATATTTCGAAGCTAATCCAATCCGGCCATTGAGTGTAACTCTTATTACATTTATATGGGGCCGGAAGTCTTAACTCAAAAATAAAATAGAGTATCTTTAAAATTTATCACAGCTCTGTAAAAATAAATTTTTAAAAAAATAAACTGGTAATATTGTTTTTTGAAATAAGCTCTTTCAAACTACCAATCAGAATTTTCAAACAACTTCAATATAAAAAGTTATAATAATTTAAATTTTTGTATTTTTGAGTATTTTATCAGAAATTGAAACAAATTTTATCATGTGACTATTATTTGATTGGTCAATTTTAGCAAATTTTATTGGCTGTAATATTCTATTGATCAATAGATTATTTCATGTGAGTAGTAATTGAGAATCATACTAATTTGATTGGTGTTTATAAATAGATTATTTGGTTTAGAATCATATAAGACTAATCACAGATTGCAAGAATGCCATCCTATATAAAGTGACAAAAACAGATAAGCAATTTGTCAAGAAAAAGAGATCAATATGTCTCTAAAAAGAGTTATCAATTTGCTACGGAAAGAGTTACTAATATCTATGACAAGAAATATTAAATTATTATGAGAATAGTCACTGACATTATTAACTCTTTCAATGAAAGAGATGCTATAGAGACAGTCACCAATACTCAAGAAGTTTTTGAAAAATAAGATTTGAGAGAGTTTAAAGAAATAGAGAAAAGATTTCTTAGCTAGCATAATGGTACTGAAAGTAATCTTAGAACTATATATACTGGAATCTCAAGAATAATACTATAGAGAAAAGATAAAAAAAAACATGAAGAACATATTAAAAAAATAAAAATGATCAATATATTTTTCTAGCCTATACAAACTATCTTACCTGCATAATATTCTCACCTATCTTTATTATATACCCATTTAGAAGAACTTGATCAATAATATTCAATAGAAAAATCTATGAAAAAAATAATAAAATCTTCACATATAATTATTTATATTTTCTTAGTATTTGTCAATTTATATAATTATTATTAGATAGACAATCCAAAATGAATATCAGTTGTCAAATTATGCAAACAATATGGTATAAAGAAAATCACATGGCCAAGTGTATTTGAAAATGATAAAGTTATTTCATATAGATTGGAATACTTCAAATTTATTATCAAGAAAAGTATATGAAGCTTGAGAATTTATTAGATGATGAAGATTTTACTAAAAATTACAAAGTATAATTCTAACAACAAGAATCAGAAGTATATTCTCTAAGAAACTTAAAAGTATATATTGAAGACATATTATTTCTGAAATCAATAAATTATATCAAGAAAGATATCATCTTTAAGAAGATATATCAGAATTATATACATTCTTGGAAATACAGATATGATGAGAAAAGAAAGAGTATTTATTATGATAGGTATGAGTGATTCAATATGATAACATATAGAAAAGAATAATTAAAGTAAATATTTGTATATAAGAAAAATATAAAGAATTTTGATAATGATGCATTAGATACTATAATAGAACTTCAGTTCAAGCCAGAAAAAAAGAAGTTTATTTAAGTAACACATAATAAATATTACTTCTATCCAAATGATAGTTAATAAAAAATCTGAATTTAAGAAGAAAAGAATATCTTATACTTGAAATACTTGAGATGTTTTATTGTGACTATCCAAGCAGTAATTACAAGTCAATTTATATATTGAACATCAAAAATCTTTTGTTCTTTACTTCATTCAAAAAGATAGATACTAAAAGTTGGAGTATATATTAAATCAGATTTGAACTTTTTTTATTTTTCAGATTTTAAGCTAAAAACTAATTGTTTTTATAAATAAAGCTTATATACCAAGCAATACTAATATTTGAGATACTACATCCTGAATGTATTAGTATTTTTTATTTCAATTAATTCACTAATCACAATATTATGGTAGCAGATATACTAATTATGACAAAAATAAATTTAAGTTCTGAATATATACAAGCTAAGATATATAATAGTTGATATATTGACAAAAATAAAGAAAGATATATA